AGCAAAAAAAAAAAAAAAAAAAAGAAACAGTCAAATGTCCTTAATCAATTGTGAAAAACTTAAAAAAAAATGCTAACATTAAATGATGGCAGAAGTTGGAGGCTCAGATACTTCTGGTAGGATATAAATTGGTACAACATTTCAATTAAGTAGCTTGCCAAAATTTATCAAGAGCCTTAAACATACTCTAAACTTTGGGCCCAATTATCCTAATTCTGAGCAAATAACCTCAGAAGCAATCAAAAGTTTATGCACATAAATGTTCACAGCATTTATCTGAGTGGAAAACTATAAGCAACTTCAGTGTCTAACAAAAGGAATGTTTAAATACATTATGTTGTATTAATATGCTAGAATACTATGAAGCCAAGGACATGGGAAAGTGCTCATGATATAAAATTCAGTGAAAAAAGCAGGAAGCAAAAGTATGTGTATACTAATCATTAGAGAAATACAAATGAAAACTACAATGAGGTATCACCTCACACCAGTCAGAATGGCCATCCTCAAAAAATCTACAAAGAATAAATTCTGGAGAGGGTGTGGAGAAAAGGGGACCCTCTTGCACTGCTGGTGGGAATGTAAATTGATAACAGCCACTATGGAGAACAGTATGGAGGTTCCTTAAAAAACTACAAATAGAACTACCATATGACCCAGCAATCCCACTACTGGGCATATACCCTGAGAAAACCATAATTCAAAATGAGTCACCTACCACAATGTTCACTGCAGCTCTATTTACAATAGCCAAGACATGGAAACAACCTAAGTGTCCATTGACAGATGAACGGATAAAGAAGAAGTGGCACATATATACAATGGAATATTACTCAGCCATAAAAAATGAAATTGAGTTATTTGTAGTGAGGTAGATGGACCTAGAATCTGTCATACAGAGTGAAGTAAGTCAGAAAGAGAAAAACAAATACTGTATGCTAACACATATATAGGGAATCTAAAGGGAAAAAAAATGGTTCTGAAGAACCTAGGGGCAGGACAGGAATAAAGATGCAGATGAAGAGAAGGGCCTTGAGGGCACGAGGAGGGGGAAGGTAAGCTAGGACAAAGTGAGAGAGTGGCATGGACATATATACACTACCAAATGTAAAGCAGATAGCTCGTGGGAAGCAGCTGCATAGCACAGGGAGGTCAGCTCAGTGCTTTGTGATCACCTAGAGGGGTGGGATAGGGAGGGTGGGAGGGAGATGCAACAGGGAGGAGATATGGGGATACATGTATATGTATAGCTAATTCACTTTGTTATACAGCAGAAAGTAACACACCATTGTAAAGCAATTATACTCCAATAAAGATGTTAAAAAAGAAGTGTATATCTCCTTGCACAGAAACAGTACACTGCCATTAAAAAGGACACCGTAGCTCTACAAGTCTAAGATGTACTACTGAATTAAAAAGTAAGCTACCAAAAAAAGCACAGTCTAGTTCCATTTTTGTTTAAAAGGGAAAATTAGTAAGATTATATCTATAAAAGAAAAAACCTATGGGAAAATTCACAGTAATGGAAGGGATCTCTGGGGAGTGTCACTATGAAAATAGTTCTGTAGGTGGAATGTGGAATGTTTTTCCCAATGAACATGTTATTTTATAAGATCTTAAAAGTTTTTCCCATTTAAAAACCTGTATCTGTCACACATTTCTTATTAATTACAAAGGGAAAGTATACCTTTACAATGGAAAGAGATGATGGTTACCAGGTTAGCCAAATGAGACATCCTGACATTTGTCACTTCTGATGTGATGTAATTTGAAGTTTACACAGTTAAATATGATGTATTCTTGCCGAAAATATTTAACCATTGGTCTCAAACTTTCAGTTTTTACCAGCATCACCTGGAGGTCCTGTTAAAACACAGGTGGCTAGACCCCACCCCCCGAGTTTTATTCACAGTTAAATTCAGTAGATTTGTAATGAGGCCCAAGAATTTGCATTTTTTTCCCCACAAGTCCCCAAATGATGCTGCTGCTGCTTTGGGGATGACACTGAGGATTACTACTCTAGACCTAACTTTCAGAAATACAGGGATAGAGAAAGAAGTTAAATAACACCATGAAGAAACTATCAGACAAATTCAGAATATAAAACATCCTATAAAACAAATGGCCTGGACTCTTTAAAAAGTTAATATTACGGAAGAAAACAAACTGAAAGAAGGAACCAGGGACTGCTCTAGATGAAAAGAGACCACAGAGACCTAACACATAACATAAAAGCACAGAATATTCACTGGATGCTGGGCTGGGATTAAAAACAAAAAGCAGCTATTAAAAAAAACATTTTGAGACGTCCCTGGTGGTACAGTGGTTAAGAATCTGCATGCCGGCTTCCCTGGTGGCGCAGTGGTTGAGAGTTTGCCTGCTGATGCAGGGGACACGGGTTGGTGCCCCAGTCCGGAACGATCCCACATGCCGCGGAGTGGCTGGGCCCGTGAGCCACGGTCGCTGAGCCTGCGTGACCGGAGCCTGTGCTCCGCAACGGGAGAGGCCACAGCAGTGAGAGGCCCGCGTACCGCAAAAAAAACAAAACAAAACAAAAAAAACACAAAAATCTGCCTGCCGAGTCTGGAGAATATGGCGTTAGAGTAAGACACGATCACCTTCCTCCCCACAGATACATCAGGAATACATCTACACGTGGACCTGCTCCTACAGAACACCCACTGAACGCTGGCAGAAGACCTCAGACCTCCCAAAAGGCAAGAAACTCCCCACGTACCTGAGTAGGGCGAAAGATAACAGAAAAAAACAGACAAAAGAATAGGGACGGGACCTGCACCAGTGGGGAGGGAGCTGTGAAGGAGGAAAGGTTTCCACACACTAGGAAGCCCCTCCACGGGCGGAGGCTGCAGGTGGCGGAGGAGTGGAAGCTTCGGAGCCGCGGGGGAGAGCGCAGCAACACGGGTGCGGAGGGCAAAGCGGAGAGATTCCCACACAGAGGATCGGTGCCGACCGGCGCTCACCAGCCCGAGAGGCTTGTCGGCTCACCCGCCTGGGCGGGGTTGGGAGCTGAGGCCTGGGCTTCGGTCGGGGCGCCGGGAGAGGACTGGGGTTGGCGGCGTGAACAAAGCCTGAAGGGGGTTAGTGCGCCACAGCTAGCCGGGAGGGAGTCCG